CTCATAAGGTGTTCAGCTTCACTGGACTGGTCACATTGGTGACCCCCAGCATTCATGCTGACAAACCTCTAACCATCAAACCATCTTCCCTAGGCTCTTTATTTACATCTCTGACACAGAAGCTGGTCAGAATCTTCTACATATCACTCCTCTTCTGCTTCCATTTTCAGTTGTTTCTCTGTCAAATCGTGAAAGGTAAAGCTTTTTAAATGTTCCTACTACCTTCCTTGCTTTAGCAGATACTTATCAAATGTCCACTGCTTTGTTAAGTCTGGGTATTTCAGCCTTTATATATTGTGGTTGTGTTACTTTGTATGGTAACATGACATGACACAATAAGATGCTTTGCGTTAAAGAAAAAAGATCTCTGAGCTCTCTGTGCATTTCATGATATGTCAGAAACAAGTATTATAGAAATCAGTCTCAGCCTACTCTGATTAAAGGAAAAAGGTAGTCTACCTGACTTCCTGATACTCTAATTCCTTAAAAACATACTGCTCCGGGGAACACTTGACTTCTGGTAAGTGAAGTCTTCCCCACCCTTGCAGGATCATACTTCACATTTGTTCCTATTTAAATTAAAAAGCTACACAGAAACATGAAACTATCTTAAGCAAAAATGAACAAGTCTGGTCTAAGGAATCCATCCCTTATTTACTATCTTTGGAGGAGGTGGATTTCAATTAGCACTTTAACTTTCCTGATTTCCCTTAGGGCTGATAAGAATAGAAAAGAAACATGTATTTTCAAAGATCAGGAATTTAATTATTATTACTAACAAAATAAAATTAAAATAATTCAAAAAAACATCTAACTGGCTGATTTTGTTCCAGTTATGAAGTAAGTCATGGGTTCTGCCATTTTTTATAACTTTTCCACAGGTTTTACTAGTTCTTAGAGACTTGAGTTTTTTATTTTAAAAATTTTAACTTGTCCACTACTAATATATACTGTGGATCATTATGTTGTGCAGGAAATGAGAGCTCACAAATTAGGACATGGCAGAACTAAGAGTACTGATGTAACATTATATTTATCTGCTTAACAAATTTATATATCCTTCTACCCAAAATCTCAAGGAAAACCCCCGGCTAAGGCAAAGCCTCCTGCTTGCAAGACACCACACAGAGTATAAATACAGTTCTTTCTCCCCTTGTAGCTGTTTGCATCTGTCACTTCTCTACCTTGGATCACATACATATGCATCATACAAATAAAAGCCATAACTTTTATAAATGTTATAAATTTTACAAATTGAAGGGCATGGAAGCAGTGCTGTATTTCCTAAGCTGAACATAGTGATTTGCAACTAAAATTGTTATGCAGTGTTACATACAATCAGGTGCCTGTATCTGCCAAAATCAGACTTTGCCTGATAATTTATTACAGCCAAGTATTCTATGTAATGACACGTAAGTCAGAGTAGTGATGCCTTTTAAGATCAAGACATCATTTTAGCCCACTGCTGTGGGCTCTGAACTGCTGAGTAATTACAATATGTACTTTAAACATTTTTAGTCTGTCTTATGTGATGTCCAGTACAGCAGACAGAATGTATCCTGAGTTAAAAGTGGCAGAAACCTTACAAAATGTTAAAATCAGCATCATTGTTCTGGAGCAGAAGGAGTAGATATTTCCTAAACTGGTCTTCTGATCCTGTTGTATTGGAGCAATTTTCATCTGAGGTAGAAGAATACAGAAGAGCTTTCCCTTCCCTTTTGCACCTCCACTTACCTGCCTCATCAAAAAAATGCCTTTCACCACGAAACATGGTGAAACCATGAAACAACGATGCTTCTCAAATTGCTTGCATTCCCCAAATAAAAAACTGAAAATACAGGACATCTGAATATCTTTTTTTTTCCTTGCTAGTTAGAAAAAAAGGTTGCTTTTACCACTGATGTTAAAACTGACGCTAACTGAAAAAGTCTGAGATTATTTTAAGGAAATATTTTCATAAAACTATATTATTGTTTCAGTATGGTTAAAAAAATATTCAAAATTAGCCATCAGAAAACCTAACAGTATCCAGTACCTCACCAAAAAGTGATGAAGAATGTTTTTTTAATGATCTCTCAAAGCCATTATGAAAACAGAATGCATGCAATTATTGAGCAACAAAATGTAAAAAGGTTTCAACAGCACTACTATAAAGCTGAGAAGTTAATAGTTATGATGCCAGAAGTCTTGACATCATCACAGTTAAATCAGAAAGTAACATATATCTAAAAAAGATCTGTTTAGAATATGTATGTTGCAGGCAATAAAGATGTGAGCATGAAAACTAAATTGAGATCCAGCACACAAAAATGAAATGCATCTCAATGAAATGCATGTGAACAACCTAGCTGAATGTCTTCAAAATCTGAGCTGGATTTTTGGTGCCAAATGTAAAGGGGATTTACCGTAACACAGATATATTTCAAGATAATACTGTAAACCAGTCTTTGGTATTTGTACATAACATTAACTGAAGCAGATTCAAAAGGGTGTGCATTTTTCCCCAAATCATTACTATCATTTTTTTTTTCCATTTGAGCAAGAAATGGAAAATGTTTTCTAAGGAAATTACTTAATTTGGTAAAGATCATACAAAAGCATTTTTTCATATTTTAATAGCACTAAATTTCTAGTTCTAAATAAATTTAAAACAGCAATAAAAGGAGAAGCAGCTCTAGTCTGCTCTGCACAGATTGCTACCAGACAAGAAGAGACAAAAGAGATGGTAAACCTGTAAGGATCAGAGAACTGACCTTAAACTGAATTTTACAACTTTGTGGTCGATATACTCAGTGATCTTACAGTTCATTGAAGAGAACACTTCTGGAAGTAAACACTCGAAACCTACCTACTCGCATCAGACGATGTATTTAAATAGAGATGGAGTTTAAAAGCAGTATTCCACACTACCCACATTGTAACTGAAAAGCCTATGTTACCTGAAGCAATAATTCAAATGGACAGTTTCTCTCTAAGGAATACATGTTTGACTGTTGTTTCTCCCTACACTGTTGTTGCAGAAAGGTCACAACTTTATAAAATACACAGGAGTGGAATCATGATCTCATGCCGAGTCTGTCAAAATAAATGCCATTCCCAGCTTTGTGAATGACTGGCAACGTTAGTAACAAAATTATTTTCTCTTTTTGTTCATCTGTACAATGATACTTGCCTTCACCAGGTTGTTGTGGCAATTAATTATGGATATGTTAATATTTAGGAAGCATCATAAGCTGCATCCATTCCTACAAAAATCTGTCCTACAGTAGCTTGACTGTTTTTCAGGACAACAATTATCTATCTTTTTTTATTTGTTTGTACAGTTCTCGGAACAATAGGGTCTTAATCCTTGACTTGGACAGCTAGACACCATTGAAACATAAATAATTAGAAAACAATATGAGTTGAGAGGTTTTAGCGAAGTGTTATACTTCCCAGGGCTCCAAGGCACAGAGCATTTAAATGCCCAGAATTTAGCCAAAGCAAAGGGAACTGGGGACAAGGAACCATAGCTTTGGTTGCTTCTAACAACTTTGGTGGCTTGTTCTTGAAAGAGCAGGGATACAAAAAAGAAGGCTGATGGAATACATCTGTGAGAAAAGAACACCACTTAGAGGAGCATAGGGACTGCAAATATAGTTGTCTTTTGAGTGAGGCATTTAGGGCAAGAGTTTTTTATGTATTTGCCAGCTCTACTGCATCTGAAAATTATAAGCAAACACAGTAGAGAAAATAGGGGGTTGTTTGGGGGGGATGTTCTGTGCACACCTAGGCTGCCTTTATCATGGGTATACACACTACATGCAAGGTGGAGTCTCCAGAAGTATCAGCTGTGTGTCATGATATACACCAAGAATATCCCCCTGCTTCCTATCAGAAGTAAAAAGGTTGGAGCCAGTCCAATTGCTCGAGTAACTCCTAATTTTGGTCCTCCATCTACAGCATCTAATAGCTTCAAGTACCAAGCATAAAGGGTATGACATGGAGTCTGTGCCAACATTTCTCAGTAGAACAATTACTGAACAATTAAGTAACAGTTTCTTCTTTGCTGCCTGTCCTCGCATGTGTTCTGTTGTTGGTGACTTCTAAGCTTTGTACTCTCTGAAAGTGAGTATCAGAAATTTGGACTTGTTTAGAAATGAAAGACTGATGGGAAGCATGACTGCCAGCATTAATGTGAAAAGTAATTCCTTCCAAGTGACAAATGAAGAAATGCTCTGCTTCCAGTCAGTCTGGAAGATACCTGGAGGACAAGCAATTTCCACAAGGTGATGAATGAAAAGGAAGTAGAATGCTGAGACGAAAGGCTGGAGTGTTTCCAGTAAAACGTGAATGAAGGGTGCGGCAAATGAAAGCAGTCTTCGGGGCAGAAAAAGGCAAAATAGTCAGGTTTAATACACCACCTACCATTTTTATTTTCCTAAATAAAGCTGAAATTAAAGCAATATATTGGGAAAAAAATGGAGAATTGCAACAGAGACTATGTAAACATTATTTTCAACCATTAATCAGACTATGTAGAATACATATGCAGCAAGAAACAAATTAAACATTTACCTAGATAGAGCAAATTAATATTATCCCAATATTTTAGAAAAGCCTGTATTCCATTAAATTATTTTATAATGTCATTATTACATTGTGCATCCAGAACTCTTTGAATACTTTCAGTCAACAATACATACTTAATATATACATAACTTTAACACATTAACCCACTCATTTAAGTAATCTACTTAATGCACAATAAAAATTATGGCAAGTATGTCTTTCCAACTGTTTAGACCCATCACCTCCTCTTGTATTTGGCAGTTTGATATGAAAAAAAAATGAATGGATTGGAATAATAAGGATTTTTCGAAAGACTGAGAAGTAATATGTATACAGTTTAATGTGATCTGAAATAGATGCTGAATCTCTGTTTTTGAAAAAAGAGAAATAAAGTTATCTTTTTAACTAAATTAAATTGAAAAAATACTTAGAAAGTCCTAATATCTTACCTGTTGATAAGCTTTGTAGATTATATCAAACAAGAAAGCTTGAGGCATTTCACTCGCTCTGTACCTGGCACGTTCCAGTGAGTGGTCTAAACAGCCATCTGCAGAAGAGGCAATAACAGTAGAAACTAGAGGACGAATTGCTCCTGCTGCCTGTGGAACAAAACACAAAGAGAAACCTAAATGTTATTAATACTAATGTATATGATATAGCTGTAGTCAAAAAAAAAAAAAGCTTTAAAATACATTTTTTCCCTTCTTTATCTTTCTATACCTCATAAAGCACAAGTCATACTACCTCGTCTGTATGAGACTTTCAACACTAACATAGCAACGGAAGAGTGTATAAGTACACATGGAGGGACAATTTACAAAACAAAATCTTAAGGCCTTCATAAACGTCTACTGCAAATACATGTACAGATCTGAAATGTTCATTTTTCAGACTTTCTTCTGCATACATAGTAGGTGGTTTCTGTGAGGACTCCTAGGCCTATTCAGATATCAAACAGCAGCAGACACACCTGAGATGACAACCTACACCGCTTACTGCTTTCACAGATTTCAATTTGGCTAAACTGCTCAAAAATAAGATACAAGAAAACTTTCAGAGAATTGAGATTGTTTCTCTGTTTGAATTCACCCTGTGAAACACTGAGCAATCACTCCTACCAGTGAAATCACAGGGAACACAGCATTTACATCTGAAAGTGTTCAATATCAAACAGCACTGTGCTCCAGAACAGATACTTAAATGCTTATATTTCAGTTTTAGTTTTGCTTAGGTTTGAAACCAATTAAGCATGTATCTTTGATCTTTTCATCAACATATAGTATTAAAGATCTACGGCATCTCTAAAGCCGAACTGTCTTAGCTGTCTTTAGGCATTGTGATACCAGAAAGTCACTCACACTTCATCAGTCACTTATCAAATCTTCACATGAACTTTAGGTGAAGCTTAAAACAACTGGGACAAGAGTTGTCCATACAATAATGGAAAAAAAAAATGCAGTGGCAGAACACTGCTTATCAAGTCACAGAGCAAAGAGCTCACTCCCCGATGATGCTAACCATTGAGAACAGCATGTTCACACTATACTGCTTATTAACAATTTTTAAGAATAATAAAAAAGAATAATTCACGCTGTTTCAAAACATTTGGAATTATACAACATCTTAAATCAGGATACCTAGAAAATCATCCCAAATGCTTAATTCTGCCAATCTGCACAGCAGCCTCAGAAGATTTTCTGAGGCTTCATGAATTTTGACACAGTAAAGAATAGGTCCCTTATCACATAACAGCACTGCTATTAATGATTTTATTTATCTCTGTTGGCAAATCCTGCCCTCATACATGAGTCCTGGCCATTCTTAGAAGATTTCTGACCTTAGATAAGCATACAGTGGTAGAACAAGACAAAAAAGTGAGTCCAAAATTTTTGTACTCTCAGAAGAAAAGAACTACTTGTCTTCCCTCCCCCTTTCACACTACTCAACAATAAAACAAAGGGGAATGCAGTCAGAGTGTTGAGCCCTTTATGAGCTCTAAATCACAGCTCCTTAGTTCATTCTTTTACAGAATAAGAACAGACATGTGAACCAGTTTCTCATGCCCAAAGAGTATGAGCTACCGGAGCAGGGTGAAGGGAGAGAAAAGATTCAAAAGATTGGTGTGACAGGAGAAATATCTGAACTGCTTTCTCAAGATCTGAAAAGCACTTTTACTTTCTAATACATGGAAAGAGATATCTACATAAAACACTACACAGAGCAAAATACTATCATCCAAAGGCAAAATGTGGTACAGAAAGACCAGTAAAACTATGAAATCACAAAACTGTCTCTCAAGAGGTAATCTAGTTCTTCTTTCTGACCTAGGCAGGATCAATTTTACTTCTGTAATAGAAAAGACAAACTGAGAAAACTAACCACCACTATAATTTTAGTAATACGTCAATGTATTAAATGAGGTGTAAATTTAACAGATGTACTTAGAGCAAAAGCTGCGCATAGCAGAAGTAGAGAGACTAAATTATCTGCAACTTGTCCCCTATTTCCTACGATTCAAGGACATGGATTACTACATCTATATCCCAGCTGCTGGGCATTTGGACTATGTTATTTTGCTCCGCCGTCATATTTTAATTGGTCACACACACACACAAAAATTGTAAAATCAGAAGGTCATGGGAAAAGAGAGAGAGCAGTATGCTAGCCACAGCTTTTCTGTAATTAGCTGTATATTTGAATTTTTTTTTTTCTGAAAAAATTACCATTCCAGAAAACCAGTTAGCAAAAAAGAATTCCTTAGGCTGATCCAATATTTTATTACAGTTTTTAACAATCATGTCATGTTACATTTTAAGCATAAAACAGGCTGGAAGAATACAATGTGACTTGCGTAACCAAATCTCACAAGTGAAACATCCACTCTGAGGAACAAAAAACCAAACTGCAATTCTAAATAAAATTGAATACTCAAAATTGTATTCTTAAAAGAACTCAGAAACACATTGTTTTCTTGCCATCTGGTTTATTGCACAATAAAAATTTATGAATGTCTATATCAGTATCTTTGTGTCAATACTAAACCACAACTCCTGCTCTGCTGAGGTCTAGCTCTTCCAAAAATTCAGAAAACTAAATCCAAATGCAACATTTTTTTTAAACCCCTCAATTAACTTCTCAAGTAATTGAAAGCTTCACATCACATAAAATTAAAAAAAATGCACTTTTCAAACAACTATAGTTTGGCTTCACATTACACCAGAACTGAGTCCAGTATGGCAGGCTCAGTTTCTCACTTGTGACCATTTCAATGAGAAATCAGAAGTTGGGCACAATAAGATTTCTTCTGCAGCAGGTCCACCGAAACTACACCTGACAGTGACTGAAAACATGAAATTAAACACAAATAATAAGATTCATGCCTGACTTTTGATCATGCAAGGGACAGAAATTCTATGTATGCAGTAACAGGATAATTAGCAGTCATTTGATTTAAAAAAAAAAAAAAAAGGGTTTTATTCCAAAAAATGACAATTCAGTCCATGACTGAAAGCAGAATGGAGAGCTTTAGTGCTTAGTAAAGCCAAGAAGTTTCTACTGCACAGAAAACCTTCATATGATGAGCAGCTGGTATCCAAAAGCCCCCAGTCCATAAGCTAGAGCATACGTGCTAAGGTGCAGCACCGAGTCAAAACCTTAAAATCCTGAGCCAAGATACAGAAATTGGTTGTTTTGCTCTTTCTCTGTCTCAGTGCACACCCATACAGGCTCCCTCAACCAGACAATGTGAGCCAGCACAAGGCTGTGTCTACCACCTCAGTAACATGTGAACTACATTAGCTCCTAAGGCCACTTTCAGACTGGGTAGAACTGGGATCAAGCAAAGGAGAATACTGGCCTGTGTATGCCCTACACTTTTTTCATATGTCACAAGAGAGCTGAGTCCCTAACACAGGGAACCTTCCATCTGCAGCACTGCTGGTACATGCCAACACAGCTGCCAAACCCACATTGGCTTACACAGACCTCGCCACACGTGCTTCTGCTTCCAAAACTGGCTCGTGGGTATCTTCATTCATGGTGTAAGCATAATACTTGGCATGTAAAAACAGAAGAATTGAGTTTTGTGAGTTTTGTTCTTGTATAAAGGCCAAAGAGGGGCACAGTTTAACATGTATGTCTAGTTCTGTGGTATTTCCCTCTGGTTAGTGCAAGCCTCCTCCCTAGTCTGAAAAGCACAAAGCCTTTTCTGGATTCTACTCCCAGTAGCCTTGCAATGAATTAAACAAAGGAATTTTTTTTAGGAGCTTAAGACAGGGCTAAAGACTAATTTTTTTCGTTCAGAAACTTAAACATTAGGGTACAGTGGGGACAATAATACATTAAGGCACTATTGGGTCTTACACTGGCATTTCCCTACTCAGAGGTCTCCTCTTCCAATTTCTAATCATTTTGACCCATATTTGCACTCTGACAAGAAACTCTTTAGATGTCTGTATTCAGTGACTCCATAACCAGGGTGCGCTTTAAGATCAGACAACACGGTCAGTTCAGGGAAAGTTAAATCCAATATTAATGACGTCTTTTATCACAAAATGAAGTATGAATGTTTAGCCCACAGAAGCCTACACACAACATAGCAACTTGGCTAACACAAAACAGCATAGCTTAATTTTATTGAAAACTCATAAAAAATAAAAATCCTAATTTTGTTTAAAATAAGGCAGGGTAAGGGAGGGAGGAGGGGATGGAGTTAATCTCGCAAGAAATTATCCAGCTTAAAGATACCCACAACACAGGGCAATATTCATCAGAGACCAACACTCCCCACCTACAACAAAAAAATAACAAGAACAAATTATCAAAGAGCCAGAAGCTCCAAAAAGAAGCATGAAAACCAACAGAGCCGCATTGCTGATCTGGTCACTTTGGGTAGCCAGAGGTAGAACAGTGCTAAACAGCTGTAAAGCTCAACAAGTTGAATGATACAGATTAGGAAGGGAAAAAAAGTTGCAGTGGCCCAAAATCCTTACCAAAAAATACCACAACTACAATTCCTTTTGTTTTAGAACAGTGTGGTAACAAGCTCAGACAACCACAGATCCTGCAAGCTGGCATACTAAAACAAAAAAGTATGCTATGTCTTTGGCACGCCCTTGTCCCCAGTAGGCCCCAAGTACTCATGCAGACACACAAAGTCTTACATGGCCAATCTGCAACCCTGAACTTCAAGTGAGTGGGAATCACAGCCTAAAACTTTACTGAAGGCAGTCATAAACGAGCAAAGTCTTCCACCCCTCTAACATGCCTTCCTTCTACTTTTTAATTACACCAACAATACTCTTCATTCATAGCCTCTATCACCCCTAAAATTCATTTTCCCTATGCTTTCTATCTTCTCAGCTGTCTAGTAGCATTAAGTGTACATTTTACGTTTTATTTATTTTATATTTTAATCATCCTAACTAATAAGTCAATGTTTTAAAATGACTTAGGAATAGGCCTGATATCAAGCACATAAAAGTAAGCCTATGAGTATTAACTTAAAAAGAACTTTCCTATTCTTAATGCTTTTACATGTTTTCGCAATATTCGTATTTATAAATTTTAATTCTTTTATCAGAGTTGTTTTCAACTCTGA